TCAGCACCAGATCCCCACTTGGGGAGGGTTGACATCGTGATTTCGCCGGAAAATTTCTTTTTTGCTGTGAAGATTTCGGCGTGAAGAGAGGGAAAAGCCCGACGGGAGGGCCCAGACCTACCCTACCTACCCCGTCATGCTGGCCGCCCCAAGGCCAAGCAAAAATAAACTGCACCTGTCTGAAAGAAAGAAAGAAAGAAAACGACAACCCAAGGGAGGGATGGGAGGACGGCACGCCGCCACCACACAGGGATTTTAAGGAGAGGGGTGTGGTGCGCTAGCCGTCGCCCACCCTTGGGCGTCCGCCTCTTCCTATCTCTCTTCGCAGTCTCTCGCCGATTCTCGCTGCAACCTTCGTGCCACCTCGCGGTCGCCCCCTTCTCGTCGTGCTCTCCCTTGTCGCTTCTTCCTCTGTCGCGTCACTCTCCTCTGCCTCGTTCTGCGACGCCGCCGCCGCCGGCCGGTCCCTTGTTCTCGCGGCTTCTTTCGCCTTTCGGCGCAGCTCCGCCCTCCTTGCTGCATATCCTGGCCCCTCGAGTCTATCGAGCTCTCCTCGAGCAAGGACGAGTCTTCTGACGCCCACTGCGATCATTTGCCGCCCACCCTCACGACCTGCGCAAGGCGCAAATTCTTCATTCGTTTGGGGCCGAGAGCCTTGCGATCGGCGGCGAGGCTCCCGCTCCCCTGTGTCCTTCGCGCCGCCGCCGGCGCCACCGCCGCGCCGCCCGCGCCCGCCGCCCATGTCGCTGGCGCTTGGCGACTGGGTCAGCGTGCGGGGCCATGAGGGCCAGGTGCGCTACTTCGGCGCCACCGGCTTCTCCGAGGGCATGTGGGCCGGCATCGAACTGCAGGCGGCGGTGGGCCGGAATGACGGTGCCGTGCGTGGCGTGCGGTACTTTTCGTGCGCGCCGCGCCACGGGTTATTCGTGCCGGCGTCGCAGTGCGTCAAGATAGACGGGCCGAGCGACAGCGGCAGCGGCGCGCCCGACCTGGCCGACGCGTGGGTAAAGGTCGAGGGTGCGGATGAGGGCGCGGCCCTCAAGGCTGGCCAGGAGTCGCAAAAGGTGATCGACTACCTGACGGCGCAGTACCCGCACGGCGCGACGCCCGACAAGGCGCTCCAGTCCCGCGCCATCCCAGTCCCGCGCCATCCCCGTCCCGCCCTCCCGCAGCTGCCGGCCCTCAGCTCGCCATATCTCCCCATGTCTCGCCATATCTCCCCATATCTCCCCATGTCTCCCCATGTCTCCCCATGTCTCCCCATGTCTCCCCATGTCTCGTGCTAGGCGCCCGCGCTCAAGAAGGAGCGCTCTTCAGGCGGCTTCTTCGGAGGCCGCAGCAGCAGCCGCGCGCGCGTAAAGAACCAGCTGAGCCAAGGCGCTCTCTCGGCTGCCCTCTGGCTCTCCACTCCCTGCGACACCCTTCCCCGCCGCCCTCACCTGCTGCACGCTCGCTTCCCGCTCACTCTCCACCCGCTTCCCTCTCGCTCTCCACTCCCTGCGACACTCTTCGCCCGGACAGGTAGGGAGCTCCGAGACCCCCCCTAGCACGAGATATGGGGAGATATGGGGAGATATGGGGAGATATGAGACACGCAATAGAGAGCTCCGGGACTCCCCCTAGTCACGCGCAATGACACAGCCGCGCCGAAGCGGAGCCTCTCTCTCTGCCGCCGCCCTCCATGCTGTGCCGCCTCTCGGCTGCCTCCCCGCCGCCGCCTCCCACGCCCCACCGCCTCCGCCGCCCCGCCGCCTCCGCCGCCCCGACGCCTCCGCCGCCCCGGCGCCTCCGCCGCCCCGTCGCCTGCCCTCCGCCGCCCCTCGCGCCCCTCGCGGCTCCTCGCGGCTCCTCGCGAGGTTCTCTCTCCACCGCCGCGCTGACCGCCCGATCCGCCGGCCCCACCAAGGCGGCGACGAGCCGTACACGACGCTGCTCGCCGAGATCGACTTGCCTCCCGGTACCCGCACCC